GCATATTGTTCCTCCATCACACTCACTGGGCGATCTTTGCTGATATGACTGCTCCTTGCAAACATCCCCAGATGCCAACTTTTGACAGAAATTCTTCACTGTAGTCTTTAAAACCTGGAGGTGAGAAGCTGTCACTTGTATTAGAGAGCGACAGGCCCAGCTCCTTCCATGTATGGAGCGCATCGGGTTTCCTGAATATGTCATCAAGAGCCTGACACCAACACTTGAAGGCAGCCCTAAAACAGAAGCAGAGCATCAAAGTGCATGTTTTATGACTATGTTGTTAAATCTACCTTCCAGAAGAGAAAACAAATACACTCAAGAAACATTTTAATTAAAATATTAGAGAACAAATCAATATCATTCGTTTCTCATAAAATGACAGTTTCTCTCAGGTAACATTTGGTGACTAAAATGTAGCAATGAAGCACTAATGGATAACTAAAATTTATGAAAGATAATATTTCTTCACAATAATGAAAAAATTTCTCAAACAAAACAAAAGTATGCCTTTGTTCTACCAGCTCCTAAAAACAAACAAACAAAAAAAAAAACACCTTTTCTTTTCCGCGAAGATGAGAAGACTTCCAAGTTCATGCAGTGCCTGGACCTTCAGACTACTTTGATTGCTGGCTTGGAGAACATCTGTATTTTTAATCAAGTAAAAGAACAAATGTTAGCTCCTGAAAAATATTTCCTTAGGTATGCAAGAGTATTTTAAACTGCATTATTCTTTAATGCAAACTACAAACGTATAGCAGCCTTCAGTATGGATCACACCTCAACATAAAGAAAACAAAAATCCTCAATGAGCAACATCATGATAGATGGAGAAAAGACTGAAGTTCTCAGGGATTTCATTTTACTTGGATCCACAATCAACACCCAGAGAAGCACCCAGTCAAGAAACCAGACGATGTACTAAACTGAGCAAATCTGCTGCAAAAGACCTCTTTAAAGTGTTAACGAGCAAAGATGTCACTTTGAAGACTAAGGTGAGTCTGATCCAAGTCATGGTATTTTCAATAGCCTCATATGCATGTGAAAACTGGACAATGAAGAAGGAAGATCTAAGAGGAATTGATGCCTTTGAATGATGGCGTTGGCAAAGAATAATGAATATACCATGTACTGTCAGAAAAACGAACAAATCTGTGTACAGCCAGAATGCTCCTTAGAAGCAAGAACAGCCAGACTTTGTCTTACATACTTTGGACACGTTATCAGAGGGGACCAGTCTCTGGAGAAGGACATTGTGGTTGGTAAAGCTGAGTGTCAGCAAAAAAGAGTAAGACCCTCAACGAGATGGACTGACACAGTGGCTGTAACACTGGGCTTAAACAGGAGGGGGCTGGAAGCAGCTTCTATCACCACATTGCTCTGTCATTGCCTACAAGGGTCTGAATAGATCTATTTTCAAGTTCTTTCATCCTACTTTTAAGAATAACATTTGAGGTCCAATTGCAATTTCAACATTAATGTAGATTATACTGTAAATGAGTACATGATGAAAACGCTCTAACGCTGACTGTGGTGATGACTGTGCATATCAATGACTAACTAGAACTCTTTGAATTGTACACTTTAAATGGGTAAATTGTGTGGGATGTGAATTACATATCGATAAGCTGTTAAAAAAATAAAGAAAACGGACATCTAATTAATAAATCTTACCAATAGTTTTGTAGTAAGAAGAAATTACAAGGCCAAGTTGTGAAGAGGGAAGTTTGCTTTTCTCCACTGAACCAGAAACTCTGAAGTGTTCCTGAGAAAGGTCAGGGGGCGTTGGCAGATGCATCTCCTCGGTTCCCAGACAAAATTCCACCTTTCTAGGAGTAAATTTGGAATTGCTTATTCCTTCTCTGTCTCTTCCTCCTCTGTCTCCTAAATTCATTAAAATATAAAGAAGAAAATTGAAAATGGAGAAAGATGGGAGGTTGATGGGGGGGAAAAAGTATAGTAAGTGGAAAAGGAGAAGGAAGGGGAGATTTTATACAGGGTTGGGATTTACTGGCACTTTGAGGGGCATTGTTCCCATAAACTTAGTACCTAATATCATTTCTGAGGAGCCCAGTAAGTGTGGATGAGCTCTCTACCCATGTTATTTCTGAAGTACACTACAGAAAGGCAGTTAGCCAGAAAGTACATGTTGAGATAATGCTTGGCTTCTCTGGAGGATAGGTGGAGGTTACACAGTTTCGGCTTGCCTTTCTTCTACAGCTTCCAACACTAAGGTGTTAGTTTGCCTCTGGGGCAGAGACCTCTGGGACGGACAGAAGCAACACGTGAGTAGATCTGGGCTAAAGAAGAAAAAAAATAGGGAAAGAATCTATTTCTTTATGAGAGAACACACAGGGAAAACGAGAGAGAGAGAGAAAGAGAGAGAGAGAGAAAATATTCTAGGGGAAGTAGTCAAAAGCAGTGGAGAGGAAAGTTAATGTGGATTTTGAAGTCTACAGCCTGAGGACTGAGGATCAGTTGCTGAGAATATTTTGGCATCAGATGAGATTCAGAGTGAATTGGTGGAAATCATTCTTAGGAATTGCATTTTCTTTTAAATATTGCTCAAGTGTTATGGCCAAAGTATCATTTAATTAAAAATGCATAATTTTAGTTGTTCTACTAATGAGAGACTTAGCATATATCTCTTAGATTAGAGACCCAGGACTTGCATGAAACCAAAAAGGATATGCACTGAAGAAATAACAGCTCTACCTCCACCTGGTGATAGTATTTTAAATGGCTACAAAATTACATACAACAACTTTTATAAATAAAAATTTCATATTTTATCCAAGTATTTGGATATTGTTATAAATTCCTTGCCTGGCAGAATTAAAATGTGTGGTTTCCTCTGTGCAATACATATTTGTATATAAAACATGGCAGAGAGGTACAATACAAAATGAGAACTAATTATATTTAAAAATTAAGTCAATTAAAAATCAGCAAAGTATTTCACAATGGTTGGCAGTAATTGAGATTTTCTCCTCCTAAACAGCTTCCACACTTTTAATTAAAAAAAAAAAAAAAAAAATTTAGGCCAAACTTTCAAAAGAATAGTTCAGTGGAAATTAGTCAATATCTCAATTAGTATAAGTTGAAATCTACTTTTGATAACTTTAAAATATAATTATATTTAATATTTATTATTATTCTAATTAGCAAAAGTTGTGTGATAGATACATTTACAACAATGACAAAAAAATTTAAAAAAGAGTAGTTGCTAAACAGCTGTACAACCAAATACCTCATAGGATTTGGTTCCTTGGTTTGGGGTTTAGGGACTTGGTTTAATGGGACATCTCAGTTAATTGGATTAATAACGTGCTCAGTGCTTCTGGTCTACCTCCTAGCTCCTTGTGGGGTCTTAAAAGCTTGCAGTGACCAACTAAGGCACAAATATTGGAGCAACAACAGTTGCCTGGAGCAACAACAACTACCAGGTGCAATAAAGGAAGAGGGAAAGTCAGCAACAGGAGGAGGATGTGGCCTGTGTGACAAATTGCCTCCAGGAACAACTGCCTCCTCTGCTATGAGGCCAGTAGAACTAGATGGTGCATACCTACCATTACTCAAAATTTTGATCAAAGATTCTATAGAAGAAGAACCTTTATCAATAGGGGGGAAATATAGAACAGAATTTCAAATTCACATAGGATCCAGATTTTCTGGAGCTATGGAGGCTGGATGAACCTTAAAACTATTGTCCAAAGGTAATGTTTAAACCTTAAACTAAAAATATCCCCTGAAGTCTTCTTAATTAAAGAATAGTTTACCTTAACGTAGTCAAAAATGTCTGCCTTGAGCATGATGCTCTTTTAAGATCTATCTTTGTGAAATCAAATCACCAGCAGTAACTCCAAAGACTAAATAGGAATCTTAGGGGGCAGTGAGTTTATATTAATGGTGGAGGAACAACTCAGAAAAAGAGGGTGAGAATGGTTACACAACTTGAAGAATGTAATCAGTGCTACTGAATTGCACGTGTATGTCTTGATTCTCTAGTGCTGCTTAAGAGAAATACCACAAATGATGGCTTTAACAAATAGCAATTTATTGGCTTTCAGTTTAGGAGGCTAGAAGTCCTAATTCAGAGTGCTAACTCTAGGGGCTGGTTGAAGACTCCTTGACCTTGGACTACAGCTCTTCCTCTTATTCCAGGCCTACTGGAGTTAGAGGATTCTTGTAACTCTTGCAGCTGCTGGCTGCTGAGGCTGATGAACCCAAGGTCAACAAGCAGAATAGCATAATCCCAAAATCAACAGGTATATAGCAGGCCACTGGTTCAAGTCCAGGAACTATAGATAAAGACTCAGCTAAGTGCAGGATAATGTACCGAAAAGCTAGAGACCTTTCTCAAAGCTTGTCCTTATATACTAGAAGCAGGTCACACTGGAAGGCAACTACTTAGCTGTTCACAGTAGATTCCACCATGGAGATGATTACAGTCTCATCATGGGGAATAACTGTATCTAGCTGTCCAGACACTCAAAACCAAGGCCTAGCCAAGTTGACATACAACCTTAACTATCACAGTGTAAAAATTAAATTGTATGTTTTTGCCGCATACGTTCTCAGCAATAAAAATATAAATTAAATAAATTGTAAAAAAAATGTTTTTTTTACTATTTTGATAAATTTGAACAGCAAAGATTGTAGACATAAATTAGAAGTTAAAATAATTTTATGTCACCTAAATATCTGGATTTTTCACAGCCAAAATTTGAGTATAATCTTCTAAAAAGAAATTTACTAGGAAACTACTCAAAGCCCTAGTTAGTCTGATTGAGTTCACACATCGACTTAAGTCGATAAATAAATAAATAAATATAAATAACAACAGTGAATATCTTGCTTTAAGTTATAAGGAATCTCTAGAATCAAAATCTAAAATATTAAGAAATCTCATTAATGCTTATTTTAGGATGCACCTATTTCTTTAATATTGATGATTTTGGTAAAAAGACCTAGTTAATTCAGAATGAATCAACCACTCTACTTACAAAAGTAAAGTGAGACCATCACACTGTACTAAACAGAAAAGTATAAGAAGGCAGAAGGGCAGAGTCAAAAAATGAACAAATATTGGGTCCATATCGACTATGTGCCCAAGGGCATGTGATAGTTTCACAGAAGCACGAAAGCAGGGTGAGTGAGGAAGTGCTCTGGCCAGAGTGAAGGCTGAGAGAGAGATCTGATCCAGTCAACAGGAAGAACAAAGTGAAAGGCAGCCGAGCGTGGGCATATTAGTGGGTGAAAGGAAGAGGGAAGGGAAGAAAGTGCGGCAGAATCTGGTAGAGCGTCAGGGTGGGAGCCTCACAACAAGAAAGATGAAGGATTACAGAAAAGCTTTTTACCTTGCACCTGTGCAAGAAATAATGAGAGCAACTTTCGGCTGTGCCGGATTGATCTGTTGTGGTATTTGGATTTTTCCAAGGTCTCTCTGAAACATTTCAAAGTGTCTGTCACATCCACAGGCACGCAGACAAGCTCTTTGGCATGGCTATATTCTGAAAGGAAAGGAAAGAGTAACATTGAGATTAAATAGTGAGCCAAGCTAACTAGTAGCAAAATACTTTCCAATTCAGAGGATTTCTTGATCCCAAACTAAAGCTGCTAAATTCAAAGCCACCAGATCTGTAGCAGATGTTTCAATGTTTGGATCTTTTTTTTTTTTTTTTTTGGTATATTTGAAAGTTCATCTTTAAAAAAAAATTAGAAAACTTTTGATTCTTATGAAATGCAAATAGCTCTAGATCTTGCCAATTTTCCTTATGAAGCCCCCTTTTTCTTTTGCTGATCCTAAAAGACGAAATAATCTACTCTTTTTCAGTAGCCTCTTCAAAGCAAGGGTGTCTTGGGAAAGACAAGGAAACAAAGAAGCTTGGAGATAGGCAACTGGTCTCTTAAGGGAAGGGCAAGACAGGTTTCTCATACCAGAGGATGCAGAGGGAAAGATGATGAGGCCATGAAGAACGGGTATGTACGCAACCAACAGTCCTGGAAAGGGCCAGGGAGGGGGAGATCATGGGAGAGGAGGTGAGAGACAGTCCTGGGAACTGGGCTGTAGATTTGCTGCACCCAACAAGCAGGCACAGGAAAAACGAACTTGAGGTTTCAGAACTTAGTAACATCAAATTAGACTTGTTTAAGACCTGTAAAACCTGAGGTCTTGATAGTATGATACAGAAGCTTGCTAGGTAATTAGGCTGCAAGAGGTCAAGAGCCATGACCTTTGCCCTCAAGAATTTTGAGGCATTCCAACACTGGAGTGTAAAATGACATTTGCAGAGAGTATCTGGTTCCACACTAAAATAAGGGGAAAACAGAAGAGAGAGATCAGTGTAGGCTGGAGAGGATGAGCAATGACTTTCTCTGGGACAAGAGAGGCCAGCTGTGTCTTAGAGGATAGGGAGGATCTGATTCGGAAGAAAGAAGCCAGGCATTTTAGTCTGAAAAATAACAACAACAATAGTAGTAGTAATAATAATAATAGACGCTAAGGTTAACTGAGCACTTGCTATATGCCAAAAGTTTCTAAAAACAGTCAGCCATATGTTCCATTATAACTCTTATTTTACATATGAGGAAAACGAGGCACAGAGAAGTCTGGTAACTTCCTTTATTTATTATTGTGATCTGAGTGAAAGTTTAAAGAGCAGCTTGTTTTTCCATTCAACGATTCATATAGTTTTTGTTTCGTGACACCGATTGCCATCCCTGCAATTTAACAGTGCTCTTCCCCCTTCCTCCCTGTGTTTTCCATTTCCCTTCATCCCTCTTTCCTTATCCCTTCCTGCCTTGAGCTTTATCCCTGGGAAAATGATGTCCTTTTCATGTAGTATGGTTGCTTTTTCTAATGTGTATGTATGTACCCCTCTAGTATTACTGTTCACCTTAGAGGCCTCTCTATCATTTGGCTGAAAGTTGGGCCACAGTGGTGAGTTCAGTTCCAGGCTTGAAGGGTTTCTAAGGGCCCCAGTCTCAGGGATTCCACCAATCTCTATCAGACCAGTAAGCCTGGGCCTTTTTATGATTTTGAGTTTTGTTCCCCATTTCCCCCCTACTCTATCCCAGGACCTCCCGTTGTGACCCATTTCAGAACCATCAGCAGTGGTAGCTGGGTGCCACTTAGTTCTTCTGGTCTCAGGGTAGTAGAGGCTGGGATTCATGTAGTCCATTACTCCTTCAGCCTAATTGTCTCCTTGCATCTTTGATTTTCTTCATTCTTCTTTGCTCCAGATGGGGAAAGAACAATCATTGCACCTGAGATGGCTACTCACAAGCTTTTAAGACCCCAGTCATGGTAGTTTCCCTTAGGCAACTAGTTTATACAAGCAGATGTACAGAAACATTTGGAAGGGTGGTGAGTTCAGGGTCTGCTGAGATAATACAAGCACTCTTGCTGAACAAGAGGGCTTGTCAGAGTCCTAATGCTCCCACTGCAGTAAGTGGACTTTCTCCTCTTTAATGGGAGGCCAAGGAAGGTTTTTGAGCAGAACAGGGAGAGCTGGCTAACAGTTGTAAGCATCACAGATTTCCAAAGAAAAAAGGTGGTGGCTGAGGGACTGTTAAGCTACAACAGAGACATTGTGTGACTTGAACTCGACCAAGGTGGTAGTAACAGAAATGACAAAGGAACACAGGAACACTCCAGTGTTAGAAGTGACAGGACAGTAGTTAACTGGCAATGTGAAGAAAACACACATTCTTAGAGAATCAAATACCTAGGCAACTTTAACCAAAGACCAAATGCACAGCCATCAAAGAAAACTGACAGTCTTCTCTTTCTCCATCTTTTTTCAGCCAATGACCTGGCTTCCTATCCAATTGAAAATTCAAACCTTCCATTGACTCCCCTGTCACCTAGAACAAACACCAAATTCCTTAGAGGGACCTAAAAGACCCCGAATGAACTGGCCTCCATGACCACTCTGACCCCTTCTCTTACTCCTTTCCCCCTTTCTCCTGACTCTAACCCCTGAGGGTGTTGGCACCAGTTGTTCACTTTGGCCTAGAACACTCATCCTTCAGATATCCTCATGTCTTGCTTCCTCACTTTTTAATATTGCTTAGATGTTAACTTCCCAGTGAGGCCTTCCTTGGTGATCTCATTTACAATTGTAACCCTCCTCCTTCCCCACTTCTCTCTTCTCCATGGCACCATAGTATCATCGTCTGGCCTATTATGTATTTTATTTGTGTGTTGACTGCTTCCTCCCACTAGAATGGAAGGTCCTTGGGAGAAGGGATTTTTGTCCATTTTGCTCACTGCTCTATCTCCAGAACCTATAGCAATACCTACTACGTGGTAGGTACTCAAAAACATGTGCTGAGTGGGTAAAGAGCTACAAGTTTTCAAAGCTAAATGGCTGAAATAAACTTTATTCATAATCACTGCTATAATTCTTCATCTCAATTGATCCTCGCAGCACTTTATAAAGTAGTAGAGCAAATGTTACTCATAAGTTACAAAGGGGGAAAAAAAGTATAGGTGATGGAGATGAACTTCTGTGAGCCCTTAGAAAAGATGGAGAAACAGTGGTTAGGTCTTTCCCAGATGGCTTGATTTCAGAGAGTAGGCAGTGATCTAGCCTTGCGGCCTGTTGGAGCCCAGAGAGGCTTTCAGAACGGGCAGGAATAAGCTCCAAGAACAATACATGAGGGAGGAAACCTGGGATCTTTGTGAGTTTAGATAGCAGTGGTTACTGATGGACTTAGTAATACAGGGTTACATCCTATGGCCACAGGTACCACATCTCTCAGTATACTTACTCCAATGTCTAGAAGTCTGGGTGGCTGTAGTCAACCAAGTATATGGTCATATTAAAAGAAGCACTGACCTCCACAGCATGTTTAGCCCTGACACACTTCCTTATCACACATTCTTAGAGAATCAAATACTTAGGCAACATTAACCAAAGACCAAACTCACTGCCATCAAGTTGATTCATACTCATAGTGACCCTCACTGGGTTTCCAAGGCAGTAATTCTTTATGGAAGGAGATTGGCCCATCTTCCTTCCATGGAGCAGCTGGACGGTTTGAATCACCAGCCTTCTGGTTAGCAGTCAAATGCCTTAGGCACTGAGCCTTAGATCTTATTAACTCTCCACGAGCTGTCGCTCTTCTAACCTACCACTTTCACTCTCCTGTCTACTCCATCCTGTCCTTACCATTTGGCTTTCTCAATTTCCCTTTCCTCTAAGCAATGTCCAGCCCTACATGATCTAGAGAAGGCATGCCTTCCATTCCTCCCACCCCTACCCTTATCACAGCACCTTGAAGAGTGTAGATTTCTGCTCTGTTGTGGTTTTTTCCTTTGCAAGAATTCATGAGATTGGCTTTTATCTTTTTCTCCTCAGAGAGTGAAATCAGGGAAAGCAGTTAACCAAGTAAAGGAAAAGGAGGAAGTCTTGTATAATCTGACAAAAGCTTTAGCAATTTGAAGGAGCTCTGATGGCACAATGGTTAAAGCATTCTGATGCTAACCAAAAAGTCAGTGGTTCTCACTCACCAGCTGCTCCAAGAGAGAAAGATAAGGCAATCTGCTCCTGTAAAGATTTATAGCCTTAGAAACACTATGGGGCAGTTCTAGTCTGTTCTGTACACTATGAGTCAGAATCAACTTGACAGCAGTGGATGGTGGGTTTTAGCAATTAGACATTTGTTGTTGTTATGTGCCATCAAGTCAGACCTGACTCATAGCGACCCCTCCTTGGGTTTCCGAGGCAGTATCACTACGGAAGTAGATTGCCCCATCTTCCTTCCAAGGAGTGGCTGGTGGGTTTGAACCGCCAGCCTTCTGGTTAGCAGTCAAGTGCCTTAGCCACTATGCTACCAGAGACATTTAGTTATTGCTTTTTTTTTGGGGGGGGGGGCGCTCTGGTGGCATAGTGCCTAAGGCATTTGACTGCTAACCAGAAGGCTAGAGGTTCAAACCCACTAGCCAATCCTCAGAATGAAGATTGGGCAATCTACTTCTGTAGCGATACTACCTTGGAAACCCCAGGAGGGGTCGCTATGAATAGAAATCAACTCGACGACAGGGAGTTTGGTTTGGTTTTTTGGTTTAGTTTTAAATGGCTGTGAAAATTGAGATGATGATATTTACTTTAAAGGTATTAACCTGTATATGGAGTGTCTAGCACTGTTCCTATCACAGAGTAAACATTCAACCTGGAGGCTCTCCTGATAATTGTGAATCATATATATTTTAGAATAGATATTGAACACTGACCAACACTAGGCACCACGCTAATGACTGAGAAATAAAACTAAACAAAACAGACATAGCCCCTGCTCTCACAGAGCTTACCTTCTAGAATAAAAATTCACAAAGGCATGCCAGTGATAAGGGGAAATAATAAGAATAGAAGGAAGGAGAGATGCTTCCCATCTTTGAAATGTGTGTTCTTAATAAAATCATCATGCTACTTTTTATCAGATATATGCTAACACATCATTCATGTTTTTTTTCCTAAAGAATGTTTCAGTATCATTTTCCTTT